GATGAATAGACCCCGCGGGGCGCGAAACCTTTTTTTTCAATCACGCCTGCCAGGGGGGTTGTCACTGGCGCCGCCGAGGGGATCGTGTACACCCCTACATGACAGCCTCAGAACGATTGCCTTTCGTAAAGAAGTTGTCGTAAGGGTCGTACACATCCGAGGCGAATTTTCGTTCTCCCTTTCAGTCGTCGTCGTCGCCGCCGCCGCTGCCGTCGTCGTCGTCGTCGTCGTCGTCGTCGTTTTTTTTCTCCTTCGTCGTCCTTGTCGTCGCCTTCGTCGTCGCCGTCGTCGGCGTCGTCGTCGACTACAGCGGGCCTGCGCAGCACCCCCCTCCCCCCCCCTTAGGGCATCCGCAGCGCGTCGTCGTCGCCGCCGTCCGCCGTCCGTTGTCCTTGTCCTCGTCCCGTCGTCGTCGTCGTCGTCGTCGTCGACGAAAAGAGCGGCCGCTGGAAACGGGCGCAAGCGGCGCAGGCAGTACAGGGGACGGCGGCGACGACGGCGACAGAGGGGCGAGGAGGTCTACCCGCCTTGCTCGGGTCGGACGAAAGGCTGGGAAAGGAAAGGGGGGTTGCAAAGCCTGCTGCACGCAGCTGGTTTCGGTCGCCCCGCCGAAGGGCCAGTCCTTGACGCATGGCCGCTTTCGGCGCCAGGAGGCGTTTGGCAAATCGGCGACGCGAGCTGCTTGGCAAATCCCCCCTTTGCTGCGCCAGCTTTCGTCCAGCCCGCCTTACCCGCAGGCCCGCATCGGCTCGACAGAAAGAGGGGCGCCCTGGCTCGCCCTTGCTCCCACCCACCCCCCAGTTCCCCTCGTTGGCGGCCGGGCGTCGGCGCTAATCACCGGCGCCGCCCCGTTGATTTTCAATCTGGCGGGCGCCACCCCACGATTCGCCCGAGCCAGGGGACCATTTTTTAAACACGCGCCCCCCACGGATTTGTTAATCACAGGGTGACATTATCGTTCGGGCCCTTTTCGCGGTTCATGCAGGGCTCACGCTTCAGCAACCCGCCTGCTCGACCTGGCCTCCTGGGCCCGCAATCCCGACCACCCCGTTATGGTTTACCCGCCCGACCATTTCGTGCGGTTATGCCACGTGTTTTCCGTTCCTGGCCCCCCGCCTGCTCAGCTCTCTCGTGCTCCATCTTTCCCCTCCCCCTTCCATCCGTCCTTTTGTGCCCTGTTTTAGGGGCTGCCAGGTACACGTGGCAGAGAAGGCAGAGATACTCCCAAGGGGGTACGATCGAAGACGAAGAGAACAAGTACCGAGGGTTTTGGATTTACGTGTTGAGTTGCACGCGAGCAGAGGAGCGAACAGTCTCATCATTATTCGTATTCTCCTCATCAGTGTTGAACTCACTACAGAAGAATAATTCGTGTTCGCCCCCCCTCTGGTGACCATTTTGTGTTTTTCAATTGATGTGCTCCCCCCAGGGTTCGTACCTTGTTAATAACTAGGAGAATTCACTCGGCTCAAACTAGGTTGTTGGCCCCCGATTGCAACGCCAACGGCTCCCGCACCAATTCCTCCCGTAAGTTAACCAGGACCCCCGCTCCCGCGTGAGACTTCCTCGCATTGTACTCAGGAGTGGCGCTCTCGCTGCGCATTCCCTTACCATTTATTCCGGAATCGTTTTCTCGGCGCTCTGGAATCGAGTTCTCGCTGGAGACTCGCTTGCAATTTGCTCCAGCACCGCGCTCTTGCGTTGGACCCCCCCGCAATTTACACGCGCGCTCCTGATTTTCAGGCACCCAAACGTCGCGCTCACGTTTGACACTTTTTCGCAGCTTATTTAAGAATCGGGATATCGTTGCTTTCGTGGCCCCGTGGCAGCCGTTCGTGGCCCCCTCGGTGCCCTTCATGGACCCGTTGCAACCCTTCGTGGCCCTCTCGGTGCCCTTCGTGGCCCCGTTGCCGCCCTTCGTGGCCTTTCCGTTGCTCTTCGTGGACCCGTTGCAGCCCTTCGTGGCCCCCTCGCTGCCCTGCGTGGCCCCGTTGCAGCCCTTCGTGGCCCGTTCGCTGCCCTTCGTGGGCCCGTTGCAGCCCTTCGTGGCCCCCTCGGCGCCCCTGGTGGCCCCGTTGCAGCCCTTGGTGGCCCCTCTGTCGCCCTTCGTGGCCCCCTCGCTGCCCTGCGTGGCCTCTTCGTGCCCTTCGTGGGCCCATATATGTATGCCATTCGTGGCCCCCGCTCGTTCGCGCCCGTCGTGGCCCCATATGCATGCGCTTCGTGGCCCCTCTGTCGCCCTTCGTGGCCTCTTGCTGCCCTTCGTGGCCCCGTTGCTGCCCTCAGTGCCCCTGTCATTGCCCTCTGCGGCCCAAAGTACGTATGCCCTTCGTGGCCCCCGCTCGTTCAGGCCCGTCGTGGCCCCATATGCATGCCCTTCGTGGCCCCGCTGTCGCCCTTTGTGGCCCCCTCGCTGTCCCACGTGGCCCCGTTGCTACCCTCAGTGGCCACGTCGCTGTCCTTTGTGACCCCGCATTATCTGCCCTTCGTGGCCCCCGCTCGTTCGCGCCCTTCGTTGCCCCATACGCATGCCCTTCGTGGCCCCAGTGTCGCCCTTCGTGGCCCCTTTCTAGCCCTTCGTGGACCCGCTGTCGCTCTCGTTTTCGCTCGTCGTCGTCGTCGTCGTCGTCGTCGTCGTTGTCAGACCCCTGTCCGTCCCTCTTGGGGTCGGGTTGCTGCCGATCAGCGCTGCCGCTGGCCAGGCCGACGGTCCGCGGCCGCCCCGCCGCTTGCCGGGGCCCAGCCTACAGGGAAGAAACATATACCCCCCGAGAGGGGTACGATCGAAGACGAAGAGGGCGGGTATCGAGGGTTTGGGACATACGTTGAATGACACTCGAGCAGATAAGAGCGAGCAGTCTTAAGATTATCAGTGTTGTTGTTGCTGTTGCTGCTGGTGCAGTCGTCCTCGCCCGCGACCCTTCCCGAGACCGACCCCGCAACCGACCCCGCGACACGCCCGCGACCCACCTGCGACCCACCAGCGACTCACCCCGCGACACACCTGCGACACCCGCGACCCACCTCTCCCCCGCCCCCTTAGTCTTACCCACAACTGCGGGGTGCTACGGGTAAAGATTACATTGGGGATGGCACCGTAGCATTACCTGCCAAACACACGTTTCTATTCCGCCCCTTCAGGGCCTCGACTAGAGCTTGCGGCCCTCTGGAGGGGTGCACGGCCCCCCCCTGGTGCTCAGAGGCTTCCAGTGCACAGTCGAAATCGACACTACTGATGAGTAATTTATCCCAGGGTACCCATGCATCTTTAGCTGCAGGGCTGTAGCGTTGTTTCGGGTATGCAAAAGGATGGGCCGACTCAGCGAAGCGAGCAAAACGAATTAGGTTGAGGACTGGTGCAAATAAGACGTGCAGCGAGATATTAGCAGAATCGGTGGCCCCAGTGGGCAGAGTAACCGAGTCCGCGGCAGTGCAAGTAAGGGAGGAGTGTAACGTTGCCTCTTCGCTTTGTATCCTTAACCACTCTCGATTGTTAGCCCCGCTCGGAACGCTTCGGCATGGGGTTTCACGGGGCTTGCATCCTTATCGTGCATCCTGGCTAGGTGTCCCCAGATGCTCGTCACATGTTTGAGCAATTGGGCCCTCTGGGCCTCGGGTTGGGGTGCTCTAGAAGAGTTGGGAGCCTTCTTGGAAGTCCCTGGGATGCTATGGGCCAGGGTCACCCCCAACTCCCGATTCAGAGGCCCCAGGCCGCCAGAGGCTCCAAGGAGGCTAGGTTTTGAAGTGTGGCAAGAGATGTGCTATATCTGGCGCACCAAGAGCGCCCCCAAAACAGCCGAAAGTTTCCCAAGCGGGTGGAGGAGTCTCGGCCAAGACAGCGCCACGGCAGCCAAGAAGAATCCCCAAAGGCGGACGACTGACTCCTCGAGACGGCTCAAGAGGACCAAGGAGGCCCCCAACAGGCTTCCCAAAGCGGACTCCGATAGGACCCCAGATGACCCCACGGGCGCCCCCTGCAACGTAAGAGCGCTTCACATCGACGCAGAAGGTCGCAAGACTGCACGACTCTCTGACTCGCAAGTCGATCATACATAGCCGACGGTTCGAACTCTGGAAGTCGCGGTACTTTCTTCGCCTCCAGGCAACATATTCCAAGGTTGGTTAAGAGGCCGCAGCATTATACAAACGCATTCGAGAGGCCCCAAGAGGGGTCCGCAGAAGCACGCAGCATGAGAAGGCAACAGCAGTCGCAGCCACAGAAGCAGGCTGGACGAGAAGCAGCGCTTTCCGTTGTGCCCGAAACATGTTTGATGAGGCATCGTGGTCACGATTGTGCGGGTTCTTAGCATCCAGAGGTTTCCAGTTGAATCTCCCACCGACGGTGGTAGGATAGTTCCAAGGCGTGGCGTAATTACCTCGAGGTGTACCAGGGGATCTCTGGGTGTCTCGGGGGGATACTCCCGGGGGCTTCGATTTTCGTCGTCTTGGGTGGGAAGGGTCCTGGGAATTCGGCCCAGCGCATCCCCAGAGGCCTAGCATCTTGAACAATGCACATTGTTTGTGATAATTCCAGCACTGATATGCCACGCACTACGCCCCAGGAGGGCCTGAGTACGAGTGCCCAGGAGGGCCCTCAAATTCTGCCCCATCGGGTGCAAGGGCCCACTGCAATCGCTTTGCATTCCAAATTGTGAGCCTCCAGGCATTCCCCTGCATGACAACGGCAAAGTTGCGGCCTTGGGAGCGCGGGTCGGCCTTGAGCGTGAGGACCAGAGCACTTTTCAAGGGATTGTGAAGCGCGCGTCCAGTGTGCGACGGGATGCGAGACGGGTTGCGAGATGCCCCCCCCCCCCCCCCCCCTGCTGCAACTTTCCTTTCCCCATCCACTCGCCTCCCCCTGCCCTTCCGCCGCCGCCCACTGCCCCTCCTCACTTGCCCCTCCCGTCTTCTATCCACGCTCCCCCCATTCCCCCTCCCTCCTTCTCTCCGTCGTTTTCGACGCCGGCTTTGTCCAACTCCGCTGGCGCAGAGCCGTCTAGGTTCGACAAGCGGGTCGGCTCCTCCCATGAGCTCCCCGAGTTCAAGGAACGCCCTGCCCGCTGGGAGGGCTCGGGGGAGAGAAGCAGTAACGGGGAAGTGATGGAACCCAGGAGGAGTGATGCGAATATCGCGGTCTGGCAGGTGCCGTGTCTAGTTCGGGAGCATCTTGCGGTGGGATCCCGTTTCCCGATTCTGATTGTTCCAGCTTGGGAGCGGAGCCTTCGTTTTCGGTGCGATATGTGCGTCCGCCAGCATCGTTGCGCTGGTGCTGCGCATTTTGATGGCGGCTGCCATCCGGCAGTTGTCATGCCGTGGTCCTGTGGGTGTTGCGTCTAGTTGATGCGGGGTTCCCGCTTAGACTCTTCAGACGGCGGCCCACCAAGCTAGACAATTCTTGGACGAGGCAGTGACAGCTTCCAAGGAGAGATGGCGCTGAGTGATAGTGGTGGGATGCGATGCGGGTTGCTGGGGCTCAGGAGAGGCAACCGGCGACGCACCCGCTCTGGAATACCCTTGTCTCCCGGTCCCGCGCAGCCATGCGAGAGCACGTGCTGCACTGGCTGGCCCTCGACCGCAAGCCACGCTGCCCAGTGCTTGACGGAATCAGCTTGCACCGCAAGGTAAAGCACCCGTGTGATGACGAATGCCACGTCTTGGCCGATGGAGGCACATCTCGGCGGCACGCAGAGGGCGGTGGCGTAATGCGGGGTGGCTTACAGAAGGCGGGGGGCTTCTTGAAGGCCGGGAGCCTTCTAGGGAGGGCCCTGAGCCTTGTCAGGAGTCGTCTTACTCAACACGTGGGGGGGAACCGACGTGACTAGAAGCGGGGCTGCCGGCACTCCAGAGAATGGCATGGCAAGGGCAAAGAGGCATAGAAGCTGGCCTGCACCCCACGCCAGCGCTGGTGAGTTGGCTCGGCCCGAGGCCGTTCTGACAAATAGAGTGAAAGCCTGCGTCGGGCCGAGCACCTTATGGATGGCAAGGGCCAAGGCTCCACGTGCAACTTTGCATGCCACGCCAGTACTACTGACTTTGTCCGGCCCTGGACGGTTCGGAAGAATTGCATGACAAGCCTGCGTCGGGACATTGCGTCTCACGCGTGCATTTTTGCAGCAGAAGTAAGTACCAACCCGTCTGGCTGCGCGGTGAAACGTTTCGAAGGTTTGCGCGCCAGCCGAGGTGCGCCGAAGATTGTAAGCGTCACGTGCGGTGCCCTGCGCTGCGTCGTAGCACGCCGCTTGGGGGGGTAGTTCCTTCTCGCAGACGCTGCCTTTTGTTGAATATTGCGTTAGCATTCTTCGTATGTTGCACGTGTTCACGAACTTCCAGGCCATGATGCGGGAGGAAAGTGCGCGCGCCACTCTGAACCAGTAACCATGCCATGCCACCATTGTCACCTTGAGCTCCCAAAGCGAAGCTTGGAGATCCGCGATGGGTCTTCGATGACCCCGTATAATGAGGAAATAACAACTTCTGTCGGGGACCAGTTGGGGGCTGCCGATACCCAAGAATGGGAAGCAAACCTATCTTCCGTCGTCGTTGTCGTCGTCGGATTACTTTTCCGATTACTTCTTCTACTTCGCCCACTAGTAGCATTGCAATTTCTACTGCTATTAGTGCTACAACTACGACCACGACTACTACTTCTACTTCGTCCACTACTTCGATTGTTGTTTCTATTGTTAAGACTGCTATGACTACTACTACTACTACTACTACTACTACGACCGCGACTACTAGTACTACTACTACCGCTACTACTATTACTACTACTACGATTCCTACTATTATTTTTTTATTATTTCTACGACTACTACTACTACTACTACTACTACTACTGCTACTACTGCTACTACGACTACTACTATACTACTACTGCTACGACTACGACTCTTTGTTTTAGCACTACTACTAGTATTACTACGACTGCTATGATCACTGCTACGAATACGGCTACGACCTACTACTGCGACTATGACTCCGATTACTACGACATCTACTTCTATTAATATTACTACTACTCTTACTCTTTCTATCACCATTGCGAGTGTTACTACTACTACTACTACTACTACTCCGACTACTACTACTACTACTGCTACTACTACTACTACTACGACTACACTTGCTACTACTACTACTACTACTACTACTACTACTACTATTACCACTACTACGATTAAGTCTGCGACTACTACTAGTATTACTACTGCAACCATGTCTACCATTCTGATCATTATTATTACTACTAGTACCACCACTACTATTACTACGACGTTTACGACTACTTGTTCTAGTATTACTACTATCAGTACTTCTACGACCGTTGTGATTTCTACTACTAATACGGCTACGACCTACCACTGCGACTATGACTGAGATTATTGCGACATCTATTGTTATTATTAGTTTTACTCATTCTACTACTACTACTACTACTACTACTTCTACGATTACTATTACCACCGCGAGTATACCTACTACTACTCTTACTACTACTACTACTCCTACCACTACCACTATCACTTCTACGACTACTACTAGTATTACTATTGTAACTCTGTCGACCATTCTGATCAGTATTACTACTGCTGCTATTACTACGACAGCTATTTTTATTATTACTACGGCTACGACTGCTACTACTACTACTACTACTACTACTACTACTACTAGTAGTACCACCACTATTCCTACTACTACGTCTACTCCCGCTACTCGTACGATTTCTTCGGCTACTGACTACTACTACAGCTACTGCTACGACTACTGCTTTCAGTATTACTACCACGACTACTAATACGAACACTAATAGTAATACGACTACTACGACGACTACTACGACCGCGACTACTCTTACTACTATCACTCTTACCCTTACTACTATTACGACCACTACTTGTATTATTACTACTACTCATTAGTTCTACCAAGACTACTGCTACTACTACTACTACTACTGCTACTACTACTACTGCTACTGCTACTGCCACTGCTGCTACTACTACGACTACGACTACGACTACTACTACTACTATTACAATCATGATTACCATTACTTCGACATAGACTACCATCATTACTACTAGTACTACTACCAGTACTACGAGTACTGTCTCTACTACCACTACTACTGCCACTAACACGACTACGGCTCTTACAGCTACTGCTACTACTATTACTACTACTACTACTACTACTACTACTACTTCTACTACTACTACTACTACTACTGCTACTACTACTACTACTATTACTACTACTACTACTACTACGACTGTTACTACTACTACTACTACTACTACTACTACTACGACTGTTACTACTACTACTACTACTACTACTACCACCACCACTACTACTGCTGCTACTACTACTACTACAGCTACTACTGCTACTACTACTACTACTACTACTAATACTTCTACTGCTACTACTACTACTACTACTACACTAATACGACTATTTCTACAGTTACGGCTACTAGTACTAATATTTCTATTGCAATTGCGACGACTATTCCCATCAACCTTGCTACGACTTCTACTGATACTACTACGACAGCTGCTACAACTACTGCTGCGACTACTACTGCTACAACAACTACCACCATTACTACGACTACGACTGCCACGACTGCTACTATCATTACTTCTTCTTCCAGTGCTACGTTTACTACTAATCTGATCTCTCCTTCTACTACTACTACTACTACTACTACGACGACGACCACGACGACGACGACCACTACTACTACTTCTACTACTTCGAGCGCGATTGTGAGCTCTACTACGACTACTGTAAAATCGACTCGCTGCGAAGGGTATCGACGTGTACTGCAACCCTTGTACGAATTGGCGTCGGATGTTTCTTTCTTGCAGGGTCGCCCGAGGGATGTTGCCTGCTTGGAGGCACAACCACCCAACAACATCCAGCACGGCGAACAATAGTATCCCGGAAGGGAGAAGAGAAGAGGATTACGAGGAGGAGGAGCAAGTTGAGGAAGAGGACAGGAGGAGAAGGAGGAGGAGGAGGAACGAGGCAGGGCGAGCGAGAGCGGAGGAAGAGGATAGCTGGATGTGCAGGAGAAGGAAGAGGAGGCAGGGCAGGAGGACGCGGATAAGGACAAGGACAGGGCGAATCTGGGGACGCGCAGAGTTTATTGCGTTGTTGTCAGGCAAGAGCAGCTGGGGAGCGGGGGCGGTAGGTTTAAAGACTCCCTGTGGTTAAAGGCCACCATTTCCAGACCAAAAACGCATGACACGGGTTCCCTTTGGAACTTGGCAAACTGTTGAGTCGCCACCCTTTCTTCCTGTGTTCCCCGCGAAATCGACCCGTGATTTTGAAATCTGGGCCCCCGAGAAATCCCAACCAATTACCCGCGGCCAGTTGTTCCATCCTTGGCCGTTTTTTGATGGTCGCGGGGCCCAGCAACTGCCCCCAGAGACTGAGAATGGCGAGAAAAATCCAGTTCCATGCTCCCCGCATGTCAGAGGCCCGGGTTTTTGATCCGCGGACAACCTGTATGCACCGTCTCGCATTGGCGTCTCCCGAGGCATCCTCGATCCTCCATCCAGAACGGTTTCACTGATAGTTATGAGGCCCTCGGAGCCGAACAACCATGCACTGTACCTCGTTGGAATGGGGCCTGCCGGGGGTCCAGACAGCCTACGGTGCATGGGCGTTGTTCTCGAACTCGACCCTACGTCCTTGCCGGCTTGGGGCAGGCCCCTGGACAGATTTGCAGGGGCTTCGGCCGGGGCGCGGTGGGGGGCATCGCAGGACGGTCTCCAGAAGCGCATGTTGAAGGCTCTGGGCCACGGGCGCCGCGCCGTGCCGCAGGGGGGGTTGGGCCCACTGGGGAGCTAGAGATGAAGAGGCGGAGGTGGTCGTGATGAACGGCGGCATGAATGCCAATGCGTGCTCACATCACATCAAGCAAAATGGACAACCCCAGAGGAGGCAAGATTGACCCACAGGGAAATCTCTCAGCTAGAATTTGAATTCGAGGCGACCTGCCCAATGAGCGACTCTCTTATGCCGTCTCTCCCTGGCCGCGTCACGTTGAGGGAGGTGGGAAGAGGAGGGACGGGGGAGGAGGAGCAGCAAGCTGGAGGAGGATGGAGGGCGATGAGGCACTGGATGACGAGGAGGAGGAGGAAGGAGGGGACGAGGCATATGGCTTCCGTGGGCGCATCGGCCCCGCTGGGCCGACGCGCGCATTGGAATATCGCATAGTGAGCTCCGTGGCAGGTTTTTTTGCCACGATGCTTGGGTACGGATCTCATATAATTCCGTTGTGCTATATGTCAGGGTTTCCCGTCGTATTAGTGACGGGCATCGCTTCCAAGAGGACAACGCGATGATTGAAATACCAAGGAGCCCGTGTACATTCCCTCAAGGTTGTTGTCTGGGCTATGAAACCCATCTAATGTTTCGACACACGCGTAAGCGTGAGCTTCGGGACTTGACCATGTGCTGAAGGAACGGTGGCGGATCAAAGCGAAGGGGCCTGAGCACGTGTTTGCAGCCGTTACGCTCATTTGTTATTGGTGCAGTCGTCGGATACACCCCCCCCGCTAACGTGGACTACCCACCTAACGTAACCCGGACCTCGGTGACACCGAGCCCGGCCCGCGCGGAAGGGGTGCTCGCGCAGTCCAGCGCGAATCTTCTGGCGTTGCTGGTTCCCGTCGTGTTCGTTCTAGTGGAATTGGTGGTGACGTTTGTGTTGCTGCGCGTGGTGTTGCTGTTTTTCGTCAAGCTGAGTTACAGTAGTGCTGTTGGTGGTGTTCGTGGTGGTGGTGGTGTGTGTTGCTGCGCGTGTCGTACCATATCGTGCTGGTGGATCCTGTCTTGCGCGTCATGGCGGTGCTGATCGTTGCGCGTGTCTGGTCGTGCTGGTCACACTGGTACTGTTGGTTGCGTTTGAGTTGTTTCGCGTTGCGTTGTCGCTCCCCGGCTGGTGCTGCTGCGTTAGGTGTTGTTGTTCGCTGTCTTTGTGGTCCCACTGTTGCTGCTGGTGGCGCTTGTGCTGTGTCGAGTGGTGGTGCTGCTGCACTCCCCGTCGTGGTCGTCGTACTGGTGCTGCTAGTATCGTTGGTGCTGGTGCGCGTGGTGGTGGTGCTGTTTGCTGTCGTGCTAGTCAAAGACGAACTGTTGGTGTTGCCTGTGTGGCTTGCGCGGCTATTTCTGCTGTAGTTGGCATTGGTATTGCTGCTGCTGCGCATGGTGCCGCTTGTGTTGGCGCTGCTCGTCTCAGTGGTGTGCTGGTTGCGCTAGAGCCAGTGCGCGTGTGCAGGGGGACACCTCGCCCACGACTACAATGGATGCTCTCGCGTCACCAGTGGCCACATGCACTATATTGACGTTGTGCTGACCTTAACCCAGGCCGCCTCCCTGGTTGCGAACGTTGCTTTCGCCGCAGCGCAGGCCACGTCCATGATTGCGAAGTTTACTTCCGCATCTTCGCCAACCACGTCAATCATTGCGAACGTTACCCTCGCTTCAGTGTCGGCCACATCCGTTATTGCGAACGTCATTGTCGCCTCAGCGCCAGCCACATACACGACTCCGACGGATGTTGTCACCCCAGCACCAGCCATATCCATGATTGCGAACGGTGTTCTCGCCTCAACGCTGGCCACACCCATGATTCCGAGTGTCGTTGTCGCTTCGGCGCCGGCAACATCCACGATTGCGAAAGTTGCTCTCGCCTCAGCGCCGACCACACCCATGATTGCGATTGTTATTCTCGTTTCAGCGCTGGCTACATCCGTGACTGCAAATGTTGTTCTCGCTTCAGCATTGGCTTCGCCCACGATTACATCTACGGAATCCACGATTGCGAAAGCTGCTCTCGCCTCAGCGCCGTCAACATCCATGATCGAGAGTGCTGCTCTCGCCATAGCGCTGGCCGCATCCATGATTGCGAAAGTTGTTCTCGCTTTAGCGCCGGCCAAACTCTTCATTGGAAACGAGTGTCAACTGTGATACAGTTGATACTCTTGTATTGCATGCTGTGCCGCCCCGTTCTCGTGCATCATTTGTTACAGCGCGCGCGTGACGCACTGGTGTCGCCGAGCCGTTGGTCACGTTAGCTTTCGTGGGTCAGGTTAGCTTTGACGCACAGTGTCGACCAGGCCTGAGTCAGGTCAAGTTAGGGAATGCCATATTAGGGGAGGCTTGTACCCGACACAGTTTCAGACGGCAGGTCATCGTAGCCCCCTATGAACATTGTCCGATCGTACTATTTTTCTTCGTCCATCTCTTGTGCTTGCGATTTTCGACCGTCTCTGTGCTGGCATCTCACTGGGCTGCCCAGTCTTCGGGGCCTCGTGTCTGTGTTCCGTCGTTCGTCGTATTACTTGTCATCCTTGGTTTCTTTTCGCTGCTTGGGAGGTTGGGAGCACACAGCTGATAACAACGGCTGGAAGCCTCTAAGGAGCTCTCCCCAAATTGACAGGATATCTCATACAGGAGGACGCCAACTATACACCTACACCGATTTTGGCCAGACCCATCCTGCGCTCAAGATCGGTGTACAGGCCAGGATGGCATACACCGAGCCTTGGCCCAAGATGGACCTCGCCAGGATCGGCGTAAGTGTGTATATATATATATATATATAGATATAGATCTAGATCTAGCTGTACATCAAGGGCGTAAAAAACGCCCCTAACCTAGTTTACAAGGCGCTGTGCGCTGAACCTCCTATAGGCTGACAGGGTAAACCATGCATATTGCGCGTGTCGCGCGGCGTCCTGGCGGCTCTCTGGCCTTTGGGAGCTCCCAGGAGGTTTACAGACCACGCACTTGTAACCCAGGCTAGAGTCGTTTTTGGCATTTTTCTATATATATATATATATATATATATGTGTATATGTGGTGCCCTTCCATCCTCACGCCTCCCCCTGTTATTGCAAAGCTTTGTTCAGCGCCGAAGGTCCTGGGGAGCTACCACTTCCGCGACGCAGGCCAGCGCCTGGCGACCATCGGCGACCGCCGCCAGCCTCCTGGAGCCATCCTCTTCGGGGCACGTTTGTTGACTGTGCGGAGGGGCAGTGTGAGCATGAGTCGTCATGTAGGAGTGTGGTCTTGGATTTGTTGTTTGTTCAGGCTCCGCGTCATGATACGACTCAGGATGATCAGCTTGTCCCGGGGGAGGACTCTTTTCCTCCAGGGCCCGGTTCAGTTCATGCCACATCAGGGAGAAGAGATCATTTACTCCTCCTCCTCCTGCCTCCCTTCTCCGTGCTCCATCTTTGCCGAACCGTCCCATCTCCCGTTCTGCCCCTTCCATCTCCCTCACCGTTGCCCACTGGCTCTCCTTCTTCCCCTCCCCCTGGATAGGAAGAAAGAGGGGCAGTCATGTTCTGCGCAGCCTGAAAAAGAAATTTGTGAGATCTGTTCGACTTGGGGGACTTCTGTGGCCAGTGGGGCGTGTGAGACCTGCGGCACCTGTGGGACGTGTGGGGACTGTGGAACCTGTGGCAACTGCGAGACCTGTGGGACCCGTGACACCAGCGGGACATGCGGGACCAGTGGGACTTGGGGAACTCTTGTGGGACCTGTCAGGCATGCGACACTTCGGGGACCTGCGGAACCTGTCTGTGGGATTTGTGGACCCTGTTTGACGTGTAGGATCTGTGGGGCGGCTTGTGACATTTGTGGGTTCTGTGGTGCCCGCGAAACCTGTGGGATCTAGACAACGGGCCACGCAGGGGCGGGAGCGCCATTCTGAACACCGGGAGCACAGTCCCGATCCGAAAACGAGGACCACGCTGCAGGGAGAGTACCAGAAAGTGTAAACAGTCGGATGGTACAAAATCATAAAAAAAACAGTTCGCGCGAATATTTGTAGAAAGCAGGACGCGGAGGGATCGAATTGAGAAAGCCACGGCCGCGCCAAACATATGGAACAAATCAATTCGCGGAGGGGCGGCGGCCACTCTCAGGACACACTCGTGGGAGAGAGGAGAGGGAGAGTGGCATTCATGGTGTGCAGCTGTGGAGGAGGGTGGCGACGAGGACGAAGCCGCGCGGCTCAACCGCCCGAGGCGAGGGACTCCGGCACGCGGCGGACGGGCTCGACGACCCAGAGTCCGTTTCCGAGCTCGGGGGCCGCCTGGACTTCAGGAAGATGCCATCGGAGGCGCGCGCCCGCGCAGGCGGGGAGATCGGCAGCAGGAGTCCGCGCACGACCTCCTTTTGTTGAGCGAACTTGAGCGTCTTGGATCTGTAGAGTCCGTGCGAAAGCAAATCGGGGCAAGGAGGCAGGCTTGACCTGGCACCAGTAAGAACGTACAGGGGCAAATATGTGACTATGAGCAGAAGCAGTGGAGCATGCAGAATATGCTGTGTGACCTGGTAACGCAAGGACCCCCCCCACACCAACTCCACAACCATCCGATCGGGTCCGTGACAAGGGCCCTCAACGAGGGCTGGTCTTAGTTCAAGGCCTCGCCGAGGGCAGCTGGAAGTCCACCACTCATTTGCTCTCAACAAGGGAGTAAACGTAGTCTGAGCTTGAAGCGAACATAATTGAATGAACGAAGTGCGCTGCTAGCCAGGGCTTGTGCGGTTCACCCCCAAACTCCTCGGCTTCTGGACCTCAGTGTTATTCTACACTTGTTCGGCATTCGCACGAACCAAAACTGACATTGGCGGCATGCCTGAGGCTTAGTTGTGGCGGTGACCACGCTCGCAGCGGTAGACTCGCGCGTGCCCCCCACCATCGCCCCCCTAACCTAAACCTCCAGACATCGCCCCCTACACCTCCTCCGAGCCCTCATCGAGGGCGGCTGCAAGTAAGCGAAGTGGCACTCGGCTGCCGCTCGTGAGATTCGCGATTGAAGTTTGTGCGCTACACGGAATGCGGATGTATTTTTGAGAATTATTGTCGAAGTTGGTGTGCATATTCGAGGGCCGATGCAGTGACCATCCTCCACCCCCAGGGCCCTTGACATTTTGTCCGACATTTTTTCTATGACTTGCTCACAGCTTCAGCTTGTCCTGATTTTCGGCTTCTCCAGCATCCCAGAAGATCACAATAATATGTTACACGCACAAACGAGCACAACACCACGCACAGAGGACTAGAACTTTAATGTGCATGCAATTTGATGGACCAAGAGGTGCAGTATTTTGTTTATCCGTAAGGGCTTCGCCCCCTGCCGCCGACCCCCCTCTCTATCATAATGGGATACATCAGAGCTATATTGGGATGTTCGGGCGCCGTCTTGATGACACTCGGGAACGTCATGCTAGGGCGGCTGGCGATGAGCACAACAGATTGAGATGTTGAAGTTGTTGTTGAATGTTTTGTTGCTTTCTTGGCATTTTCCTCCAGTTGTTCACTGGAAGCGCTCTGGGAACGGCTGGGGATTGCTTCAGGCAATCTCTGGGAAGGTTATTATTTTCTGCTCTGGAGAAGGAGTCGCGCCTTTGGGCAGCTTCCGCGAGGTGGATTTGTAGCGTGGGGTGTGCGCGCGAATTTGGTGTAATTTGCGGGGCATCGTGGCCTCGGGGACGCGAATGCGGCGTACTTTACAAGGGATCGTGGCCTGGGGGGCGCGACAGCGGCGTAATTTACGAGGGATCCTTGCCTCGGGGGCGCGACTGTGGTGTAATTCACGCGGGATCGTGGCCTCGGGGTCGCAAATGTGTGGCCTCGGGGGCGCGCCCGCTGTGTAATTTACTACGGATCGTGGCGTCAGGGGCGCGAAATTGTTGTAATTTGCAAGGGATCGTGGCCTCGGGGGCGCGAACATGCTATAAATTACATAGGATCGTGGCTTCGGGGGCGCGAGTGTGGTGTAAATTAAAAAGGATCGTGGCCTCGAGGGCGCGAATGTGGAATAATTTACAAGGGATCGTGGCCTCGGAGACGCAAATCTTGTGTAAATTGCAAGGGATCGTGGCCTCGGAGACGCGAATGTGGCGTAATTTGCTAGGGATCGTGGCCTCGGGGGCGCGAATACACCTGAAGTTCTGAGAACCCCCTCCGGGGGACGCTAAGCAGGGCCCTTTTCGGCTCCCTCGTTCGCATGCAATCTGATGACGAAACCGTGTCGATTCCAGGCGCCGCCTGAATAACGACGAGTGATGAACAAGTTGAGAAATTATGGGAAGATAGCAGAATTCAAGCAAAACTATATGTTCGCAGCTTTTTCGTGATTCCGGCGAAGGCCGGAATTTGTATTGTTGTCGCAATTGTCTCCTCATTATATTGCTTCTAAGGCAGGAATATCTGAGACTCAAGCCAGAAGCGCTGGCGGTGCGTATGGATATTGAGCTTACTATTACAGGAGATTCGTAAATACAGGGACCCGACAAAGAGCTAGAAAAGGGTAAGCATTCTGGGTAGTCGAAGGCCAGACTGGCAGATTGGATTGGGCTCCTGGGGCCAATCTGGCTTGACCAGGTTGGGAGGGTTTTGTTGTTCGCCAGGCTGGGTTCGCGTTGGCTCCCTTGCCAGATTGCCACCGCCAAATTGGCGCCAGATTGGCTGCGACTGCCCAGACATTCACAAAGAAAGTACATCAACAACACAGAGAAGGAAACCCGATACGAGCTACATCCCCCGGAATCCGTTGCACTTCTTCTGCGAACATTGATACAACTACCATGCGCTTCAAAATCGGGGTTTGATCCTAGAAGTTACATCCGAACACCTTCAACATAAGATTCAAACAACATCAACATGCTTTCAACAAACACAGTGGACCCTGGGTGCAGCATCTTCGACAGCACTTTCCTTCGATGCATTCAGAGAGGCAAAGGAACGAGCAGTCCTGAACCCCAAGCCGTACATCAACTTGCATAAATAGGGTGTGGTATCATGGGGCACGAAATGTGGGCCCACGAAAAGGGTGGGCCCACAGCATGGAAGAAAACCGGACAGCGAAGAAACACAGACGAACATATAAGGATACGCATACAACATAATAGCGGGAAACCATATAAATAATAAGTCAAAATACGCGTGGGCCCCATTTACTCCCCTTTCAAGGCTGGCTATCGCCCCATAACTCTAGTCATAAATAGGATAACAGGGATGTCGTTGATTATCAGGATGGGTCAGTTTCCAGGAGGCGTCTGGGAGGATCCCAGGAGTGATCAGGAATCTGTTGGCTTTCTTGAAGTAAGCACATATATGTAAGTGGTGGCAGCTGAAATTGTGGCATGTAAAGAACATGGTCTTGCGATTTCGAAACGTTTACGTATCATTTTGGGACGCAGTCGATTCCGTAGCTATGCCGGTTCACGTGTCACGATTTCTATGTTGCAGTGTGGCAATCATGTGGTAGTTTGGTCATGACATTGCCCTCGTTTATCTATCGCATAACTGCTGATCGTTGCCAATTTCTTAGCGGTCGCTCCATTAGACGGGATATCTCTCTCGAGCAACGCTTGGCGGATGCCGCGCCCATCCTGAAAATGGTGTTGCAGTTCGGTGGTTGTTTCTCTACAGAATTCTTGGTGTTATGTACTATCAGTGCCTTGCCGATCGACAGCTGAAGACGAAACGATGCGGAGGCAGATCATGCAGTCTATTTCAAATTCTGAATCAACTCAATGCCGCGCTGGACAAATGTGTGCGTTGCTTGAGAAGGTCAGGCGAGACATACATGTTCTCCTACCTCCGTGTTTTCTCGATTCCAAAATACCTCAGGGGAATTCGATGCCCTTCTATAACGCTCGCACACTTATTGCAGATGTGCGGGCTCGGCCGGTTTTGCTGCTTACCAACATTGAAGTGAAGGTAAGCAGCATTATGCAGGACAGTTGGGAGGTGTTGGATTTCTTCATCTCATATGGCAGCTCGTTGGTCCAGAGTCCATGTGTCCATGCTACTGGAGTAGCTCCAGAACCCCGTGACGGGAATCCAGCGCCCAAGTACGTTAAGCAATCAGCAGGACTTCTCGTTGAAGTCGACACGCGTCTTCTATGTTGCTCTTACCAGACCGCATTACAGCAGGGCCGCGATTATTTCAACGTCTGGGATTCGGATACTCGGTCCAAGCTGGGGGTGCACGTAAGAGTTCTATTGCAACAGCAGAGCGAGAGAGAGAGAGAGAGAAAGAAAGAAAGAAACCAAACACATATCCTGGCGAAGGACCCAACCGCGTTCAGGGAACACCTCTTGCGCACCCCAGTTGAGGTGTCGAGAAAGTGCCACGCCTGCCATTTTTGGCGAGCCTGCAGCGGATGGAGACCGCGCTCAGGGACCACCCTTGCGCACCCCATGTGGCGTCTAGAAGGTGCCGCGCTTGTCACACGTTGCGATCTTGCAGCGGATAGAGACCGCGCTCAGGGACCACCTTCTGCGCACTCTTGGTGGTGTCGATACAGTGTCACGCCTTCCACGCCCTGCGAGTCTGCAGCGGGGTTAGACCGCGCTCAGGGGCCAACCCCCTGCGCACGCTTTTCTGGTGTCAAAAAAGTGCCACGCCTGCCACACTCTCCAGCCCAGGCGCGTATAGGGGCCGCTGTTAGAGACCACCCCCTGCGCACCCCCTCGCGCGACGAGAAAGTGCCACGCCTGCTACGCTCGCCGACCCTGACACGCATAGGGGCCGCGAACTAGAGACCACCCCCTGCGCAACCCCTCTGGTGTCGAGAGAGTGCCACGCCTGCCACGGTCGTGATCTCTAAATGGACGTGTGTCTTATGTAGGTGCCTAGTGTGTCGTGAATACCTCTGGGGTGTGACATGTAAACAACACGCCAGGTTTGCACTAGCGTCGGATGGTGTGTCTGTGTGCGCGGCTGTAGATGTGTGTATGTATGATGTGTAGTGCGTGTGTATGTTGTGTGCATGTGTGCTGCACGTGTGCTGCACGTGTGCTGCATGTACGTGTGCTGCGCGCGAGTGCAGGTTACAAGGAGAAGGAGAACGAGGAGGTGAAACATGAGTGAGAGAAAACCAGGAGCCCACGAGGCATGTGGGAAATTTCAAGTAGGCATCACGGATCCGAGAGGAGGACAGTGGGAAAGGCCAGAGCACCCACCACTTGAGGCAGGATTCTATGAGCAGAGGAAGGAGGGAAAAGTAGGGGAGAATATGTGAGGAAGGGAGGGGCTGAGGAGGAAGAGACGGCTTATCCGAGACTTTGGTCCGCGGACGTCCAGACCCCGCCCCAGAGGCTGCAATTTGCTTCGCCCCGACCCCTTGGGACCTTCCTGGGGGCCGACTGCGGCCCCCGATGGCTTCACAAGGGCGACGCTGGCTCGCCACCCGTGTCTGTTGTCGTCCCAGCCGCCGGGCGGGCCGCTCCCCGCCGCCCAGCTGGGCGTCCCGCTTCTGCCCCTGAAGCAGGGGAACGAGGTGGGCGAGCATGCCAAGCGGGCGCCCGCGCGCCACCGCGCGCCCAGCGGGGGTCGGGGTGGGAGAGCCTTCTCGGGGAAGGGAGCAGGGGAACGAGCTGGGCGAGCCCTCGCGGGCGCGCGCGGAGCGTGGGGCGGGCGGGGTATGCCCCCCTCTCGGGGGAGAAGTCAGACCGCTACCGATCGGGTGTTGCTAGAACAGCTCCTCGCCCAGGGTGCCGAGACCGCTACCGACGCTCGACACTCTTTGCCATCTTGGAACGGATCCCTGCCCCGATGATTCGCATCGCCTGCATTCGCCGGGGATAATCAACACTCAGTAGTGAAGGGGTGGGGTAATTTTATTATCCAAGGCTCGGGGTTAAGCATTCCCTCGGTTTCCCGGCGCATGTCGCTCGGATTGGCGTCGCATTTGGGCGTTTGTCAGTCTTAGGGGCACGGGCACGGATCAGATCGAGGCTGGTTACCCTCGCTTCCGCCTCTTCGGCCCTCGGCGCCACTAACCGCTTCGCCTCGGAATCCCCGTGCGCGCGGAGATCGGGGGGGTGGATGGCTCCTGAGATTTGCGTTGCAATTTCTGCGCGCCGGGTGTTCTCGCCCCCTTTCAGGCCAGGACCCAGCCCAGATCGAGCCGGCTCGACAGATGCAGCAGCAAGATGGTGTTTAGGGCTCCAGTCGTGATTTTTCGCGATGCGCCATTGTTTTCGCGACGCCCGATATCAGGGTCTTCCTGTCAGTACCGATACCGATGCCCTTCCTTCGTTTCCGCCGTTTTGAGGCTTTTCGGGGATCCCCCGCCACGGCCGGGTTCGCCTCATAATCCCGGTTAGAGCGTAGGCCGTGAGAGATCCAGGGAGTGGCGGCATCAGTATCGTTCGGCCACCCCCAACCTTCGGTGGCGGCGGCCCGCGGGATGGAGCGGCGGCAATCATTCGATGGGTATCTCTGACCATCCTCTCCTCATGGTGGCTGCTCCTGTGCGGCCACGGCAGCGGCACTGAAGCACGGCCGCGCGGATCCGTCGCAATCTTTCCGAGTCGCTAGAGGATTGAGCCCCTATCCTCCATTCGGGTTTGGGAGGCTGCCTGACTGCACTGGAGGTTTGGCTCTCAGGGCGCTCTCGTCCACCTGCGCATCTCGGCATCGCTGAGTCTTCTCTGCAGCTGGGCCTCGAATGAATTGGGAGGAGGGACGGGGGTGGGGGATCGAGGTTCCAGGATCGAACCTTGAGGATCAAGACCTGTCTGTGGTGTTTCCACGTTGATGTGCCTGAGGACGGTTTCCCCTCGACATTGTGGTCAAAACGAGCCCAAGGAGGAGCCGATTCTGAGGCATGAGGTGGAGGAGGAGGAGGAGGAGGATGTTGGAGGAGGACGAACGAGAGGATACTATGTCATGTGAGTTTGTTTCTTCAGTTGTAACGGATTGCTGTGACGGTCCCAAGGGTCGGGGGGGGCCAGACGGAGGAGGAGGAGTAGGAGGATCAAAACGAGGAGGAGGAGGGAAGGGATGAGGAAGGAGGATGACGATGCGGAGGTGGATGTACATTATTTGATGACTTCTCGTAGTCTCATTTTCTCTGGTCCTCGTCTGTCGTCGTCCTCGTCGTCCTGACGGTTGCCATCGTGCTGTTGTTTCTCGGTGTGCCATTCATATTGCGGTTGCGCGTTTAGATAAGGTTCATGAAGCGCTGTCGTATTGGTGGGAGAATGTCGGTCGGACTACGGGCCGCAAAGTTGGGAGCATGAGCGATCAGCATATGCCTCGGAGGCTTGAAGACGAGTAAAGAAAGATCAGCATAGACAGTCGATTGGGAACACAGAGTTTTGCACATAAGCGGTACAGCATTGTCGGTCATGCCGAAGGCGAACATGTGGGAGGAACAGTATAGGAAAGAGGTGAATTATCAATTACGGGCTGTGCCAGATGGAGGGGTTTAGGATGAGGATGTCAAGTTGCAATTTCATGGCAGCGCGTGATCATCGAACGCGATGAACCACTGCATGTGGCAAACCTCGCCATTGTGCCAGCGCGTGAGAGAGGATGAGAACCGTTCATGTCCAGTGTCCTTTTTGAAGTAGCGTGGTTCCTGAACATAGGTATCCTCCTTGTTCGAAGCCTCACTACCCTCGTCCTTCCTTCCTTCTTCTCCTCCTCCTCCTCTTCCGTAGCCATTTTGGCTCAAGCCATTCTGGTTCAGGTCTTGGCTCAAGTTGGCATATCCTCAAGGCAGCTGGCCAGGTCAGAGCAGGGCTGCTCCCGACTCGGCCCGCGACACAAGGGTCGGGGGTTGACCCTTTTTTCGCACACTGAGGCATTTTGCCACCCAGTTTGTTTCTCCAGACTCTTGTCTCGTTTCCTGGCAGTGCAATGGCCGCTGCCGAGGTATCCAATGCTCAGTTGCTCCAAGTTCTAGAAGGGATGAACGGCGGCATGAGCGCCACGAGGGACGACATCAGAGATGTCAAAAAAACAAAAAAACGTTTCGCCGTTGCTGAAGAACTGGAGGAGAAGATTTCCGATCTCGAGCTCGCCATGGAGGACAAGTTCGAAGAAGCTAAGAAAGCCCACCAAGCCCTCGTTCTCGACATGGACCTACGAGTGTCTCGACTCGAGCATGCCCATCAAGAAGCCGCCACCAACGCTGCCTTCTTTGACACCGAAGACGGCAACCCCACCGCCAAAAACGCAGGGCTCGAGATTCAACGTCAGATGAATGAGAAGATGGCCAGGCTCGAAGCGTCCCTTGCCGAACTACAGCGAGCTCCGTCCGATGCAGGCTCCGCTTCAACTCGGCCGCCATCCAAGTCTCGTCGCTTAGGAAGGGGCACCAGTGCTGGCTCCCGCGCTTCCGAGATTCCAATGATCGATCTCGCCAACGACGAGCACAACCAGATCGATCCTACCAGACGGTGGAGCAGCGGTTTTCCTCGCCCAGTCACTGAGCCGTATAGGCACACAGTCTTCAACCAGATGAAAAGCCGACTTCCTGCCGCCATCAGCGAAGGGATGACAGGTCATTTCCACAAAGTATCTCAAGCGTTCGCCGTCACCTTCAACTCTGAGCAGAAGGCCCGCGACTTCCATGACTGGTTCCTCGCGAACCCCGTGACATGGCAGGACTACCGCAACACCTCCCTTCATCCACTGAGATGCCGCAGGGATATGCCGCTGCAGGCCCGCCAGAAGAACCGCGTCCTGAGCGCCCTCTGGCCGCTCGTCCGCAAGCACTTCGAGAACACAGGGAAGTGGGGCCCTTCAATCAAGATCGGCACCAACCCGTTCAAAGGCGTGTTCAGTATCACCACCGAGAACGACCGCTGGGAGATCTCCAAGCTGACCGATGCTCCTGGAGGCATGTACGAGTTGAAGCCGATTAGCGACCAGCTCTCCGAGTGGAGCATCACCGAGACGACCGCCAACTGGATGGTCGAGCAGGCCCAGGCCTCCGTCCAGCAGTACTGAAGTGATGCCAGCCTAGTATCGTGTGCTAATTTTCTGCCTTCTCCCGTTGCCTCGCTGCCTCTGTCGCCCGAGTCTTCTGATCTTTGTTCGCCTTCTCTGTCGAATGCTGAATCCGGAGCCCGGCCACCTTCGCCTGAGAACCCAGCCAGTTCTCGCCTCTCTTTTCCGCCATCCCTGGCCAACGGTCGAGATATTCGGATTGCTACTTGGAACTGTCATACCCTGTTCGGCGCGGTCTCTGGGGGCCACGACACTCAGGTCAAGACCTTCGATCGACTCGCTAACCTAATTAGAGCACACAATATCATATGCTTGCAAGAAACGCACGGCCATGAAGGGGATCGCGAGTCGTTGCGTACCGAGTTCCCTGGCTATGAATCTGTCTGTACGTTCTGTCCCGACAGTCGCGTTGGCGGGAACGCGATCATGCTCGCTCGCTCTCTTCTCGCTCTGCTTCCTCAACATCAACGCAATGTGATTATTCCTGGGCGTCTCCTTGCCGTCACCATCCAGTCCGACTCTTTCTCGCTTGCCATCTTGAACCTCCATCTACACCCGAGCTGCCGCCACAGAGAGAAAATAAGGATTCTTCGCTTATGCGCCGATTTTTTGCGCACTGTCCAGGGCCTCTTCTTCTTTGTTGGAGACTTCAACTTTTGCGAGCTGGGCGAGGGTGCCCGGCGAGTAGACGGCTCTGTGCAGATCAACGGCCCCGACCCCCTCGCCCATAAGTTCTGGTCGCTCTTGCTTAACGTTATGGAATGCTACCAAGAGAACCCGACCCACCACGCCACTCGGAATGGGAATGTGGTTAGTGTATCCAGGATCGACCGTATTTATACCAATATGTTTACTGGGGATATCTTGGATTTGAAAACGACCTCTGGGACCTCCTGGTATATTTGTAAAGCCGACCTCCCGAGTGACCACGCCCCGGTGTACCTGCGTCTGAACGGAGGCGGAGACAACCGCGCTCGGGCCGTCGCCTCGTGGGTCTCTCGTCACCCTCTGTATCCGATCCTGCTTGAAAAGCTGATCGACGAGCACGGGGTGTGCGAAGATAATCCGCCGCTGATGGTTGAAGAGCTCACGTGCCTAATGCACGACGCAGGACGTCTTGTCCAGCATCGCCTTTCTGAGTTTCCGCCCAGTTCCGCCGAGCAGCATTTGCAGTGGCTGTTCGCGGTGAATCGCGCCATGCGGAGCCACAAGATAAGCACGCTGAAGAAGGCCGTCAAAGCCATCACCGTGCTGCTCAACTTTCTCGACCTTGACTGTGGCACGCGGCACAACCAGTCAGTCTTTCAAGAGTATATGGCCAAGATTGCTGCCGCTCGGTGCCAAAAAGAGTGAGGAAATCATTGGACATACCACGGAATCCCCCCAGTTTTATGAGCACCGAGCTGCGCGTCTTCAGAGATTGGCACCGGCCTGGTCGCCGAAGAATCGGAGAATATTCCTCACGGGCATCGCGGATGCCGAGGGGGGCGCTTTCCCGACTGCTGAGGCTGGGGCTCATGCTCTAGCCGCTCATTGGAGTCAAGTTCACGCCTCTGCTTGATTTCAAATTGCCGCGAGGGACCAGCTGGAGGAACGTATTCAAAAAGTGAGGGAGGCTCAGATTTGGGGGCTCTCTGAAGAACAGTTTTACGGAGTTTTGGATCGGCTTCGCGATTCCGCCCCTGGCCCTGACGGGCTATGTTACTCTGCCTGGTCCAAAGGGAACTTATTTGTTAGGTGGGCCGCCTACGCCATGCACCAGCATATCTTGGATTTCGGCCAGCTTTCAGACGATTTCAACCTCAGCAACTCGATCTTCCTCCCCAACGGTTTCCTGGACCGCGACGGTTTCGAGCTCTGGAGGACCCTTGAAATGACCCGTCCCATCTCCCTCTCCAACCCGATCAACAAAATTGTCGCTGTCGCGATCAACTGCCGCCTGAAAGACGTTTGCGTGGACACCACTATTGGGATCCAAAGGGGCTTCGTTAAACACCGTAACATGCTTGACAATCTGCTGATTGAGTTCGAGACCCACATGGTCGTAGGAGCAGGTCTTTTATGGCGGCAGACTGCAGGCGCTATCCTGCTGGACGTTAAGGCCGCCTTCCCAAGTTTATGCCATGATTGGATATTTTTCGTGTTCGAGAAAATGAACTTTCCCGAGTTTGTACTGAATGCAATAAAGACGCTCTACGCCAAGGTTGCCACCACCATTCTCCTGGGCGGGGTGTCTCACTGCTCTTTTCGCATCCTCCGCGGGATAAAGCAAGGATGTCCACTCTCGGGAAGCGCGTTCGCCCTGGGGTTCGACCCGATGTTACGCTTGCTCTGTCTTCGGCTGCCCCGACCTGTCCATTTGCGCGGTGCCTTCGCCGACGATGTTGCCTCCGCCGCCTTTGATATCTACGCGGCCGTGCCCATTGTCATGAAAGTTAGGATGCTTGCAGGGCTCGCCGCGGGCCTCGCCCCGAACTTCAAAAAACGGTGGTATTATTTTACCGCGAGTTTAACAGGGAGGAGGAGGAGAGGAAGTTCCAACGGCAGGGGGTCAGAGTTCGGAGCTTCGGGATGTCTAAGTGTGCCAAGTATCTTGGTGCGATGTGCGGGATCAGGGCCCAGGGGGAGTCTTGGGCCGCCCCGCTGGTCAAGTTCCGCGACCGCTGCCGCTTCATTAAGACTTTGAAGTTAGGCCTGTCGATTTCTCTCGTGGCGCACAGCCAGATCGCAGTCGCCGTGCCCACGTACATTGCCCAGTTCTTTCCGCCCGCGGCCGATTGCAGCTGGCAGGTGCATCTGGGGCTACAGTCGCTTACATGTGCTCCTCGGCATGCCTTGTCTGATCATATGCTGGTGGGAACGAAGTCTCTTGGGGGGAAACTATTTCGGGCCAGGTCTCTCACACGCGAAGCTCGTGCCGCTGCAGATCGTGCTACCCTCGCCTCTTCCGTCTTTTTCGCCTGCATCGAGAAAATCGAGGACGCGTTCGATGACCCCGAATGCCATCTGGACGCTCATCTCCATCCCGTTTGTACCAAGTCTTACGTTTTCATGATGAACCAGAACTATCGTGAGTTATCCCGAATCCCGTCCGCCCCCGCCGTCTTCGAGCACGGGCTTCAGAAGAAAATGACCAAGCTTGTGCTCGCCCATCAACCCCCGGTCCCTTTTCCAGAGCTTATCCTGAGGCGTCTCCAGCATTGGGCCTCGAGGTTTCCTGAAGCTGGCCAAGTCGGGGCCCCTGAAGCCCAACTGTGTTTCTCTCGGCTAAAAGTGGTCGGCCAGCACATTGCTCCCTTTGTTCAACTCAGTCTGCTGCGCAGTATATGCAACGCTTGGAATACCTCTCGGAGATACCGCCAGGCCACGCTAGGATGCAGGTTTGGATGTCAATGTATTGCTGGTGACCAGATCGTGCATTACCTTGTCTGTCCTGCTCTTCTCGGAGTGATGCTTGCCAATCTGCCTAGGGCCTAGGCCCCCACCATGGTGGGGGGCGGAGGTGTTTGCTGGGCTCCTTCTTTTTTCTATGCCTCTCTAGTGCGATGAGATCGTCTCCATTGCCATAGCACGCGACGTTCTGTTAAACACGTTTAACAAGCTCAGGTCCGAGGGGGCCCAAATCACATCGCGAGCCATTCGGCCTGCTGCAGGCCGGTTCCGCCTTATTTGCCGACGGGATGCCAGGGCGCGGGCTCTGGCGCGGCGGTAGGGCATCTAGCGATGTGGGCGCCTCGGATGACTTGCCAGATGGGATCGGGTCTCCTCCTCCTCCTTCTCCTCCTCCTCCTCCTCTTCCGCCTTGCAGGCATTGAAGGGGGTTCGTTGTGGCCTCATGAGGGCCCGTCGGGGCTCCCGTGGCCGTCTTGGGCGAAACGGTTCCACCTACAGCTTTCCCGAAATGGCTCGGTGTCACTATCTTTGCGGACGTGCGGGCGTGTCTTGCAGCCCTTTTGGGGGGCGTTATGGGCGGCCTTCGGGCAGTCTCATGGTTTACCTCGGGGTGCTCCTGGGGCTGTATTGGGCAGCGTTCGGCTCCCTTTCGGCTCGTTGAGGGGTTCCCGAGGCGATCTTACGCAGAAGAACCCTGGGCACAGAGTGCATTGACTGTTCGATGGGTGGTTAAAGTTGTTTCGTGTCGCACGGCCTCGCTGGAGGCATCTCGAAAGCGTGTTGTTCAGAATGGCGCTCTCCCTTTGGCGCGGGCCACATTTATACACCGTACTTTTTTTCTTAGCGCTTTTCTGGTGTTCACCTCTCGACTTTGCTCTGGTCCTTTTGCTTCTCTCGCTCCTGCTGCTGCTGCCTCCTCCTCCTTCTCCTCCTCCTTCTTGAATCATCATCGCATTTCTCGTGCTCATCCGCCACGTTTCCCGAACATGCAGCCCCCTCCTGATTGCACACGGAACGGCCCATGCGTGTGCGATGGCGTTGCTAGTGCCAAGAGGGGTGAACGGATGAGGTTGAGCTATAAGGGTGAAGGAAGAGGTAAAGGGGGGAAGGCAACGCAGACGACATCGAATGATGATATCAGAGGGGTGAGTTTGGGCAGGTCTCGCGCCCATAGTCTTCTCGATCGTCGTGCCCTGCATGGCCCAGTGCGACGTGAACCCGAAGCTCACGAGGCGGCGTGGGGGCTCTGTTTTCGTTTTTTCAAACGCGATGCACTTATACCGAATACGGTGAGTCAGTCCACGCAGTACTCAGTGCCGTGCCCCATCTGGGGTGGACCCATCATTCAAAGACGCGAGCACCTCATTAGAAGCGCAGAGCACCATAAATTTGCGTCAAAGTTGCTCCACAACTGTTTGCTATGTGCGGACTCTGGTTCAAGCCGACATCAGCATGTCCGGGAGGATGTATGCCTTTGCTATGTGTGCGTGTGGTGTTGATCCGTAAGGGTTTCGCACCCTGCCGCCGGCCCCCTCTCTCGGAGAACGGGCCATGGAAAAGCTAAGTCATGAGGCTTTGGCGCTGTCGTGCAGCAGTATCGGAACTTCATGCGAGGCCGATTCGCAATCGGCAAAACCAACTGATCACAAGAGGGGTTACCACACAGGGCGATTGGTAAGGCGTGTATGGTTTACAATCCCCTGTGTTTTTGGACCCTGACCCCGCGGATCTGCGTGAGGGGTGGCACCGAATTTCAGAAATGTGGCAAATCCCTTTGTGTTTTTGGACCCTGACCCCGCGGATCTGCGTGAGGGGTGGCACCGAATTTCAGAAATGTGGCAAATCCCTGTGTTTTTGGACCCTGACCCCGCGGATCTGCGTGAGGGGTGGCACCGAATTTCAGAAATGTGGCAAATCCCTGTGTTTTTGGACCCTGACCCCGCGGATCTGCGTGAGGGGTCCGCGAATTTGGCTGACCCAATCTGCGTGAGGGGTGGCACCGGCAAATTGTGTTTTTGGACCCTGATCTGCATGAGGGGTGGCGCCGAATTTCAGAAATGTGGCAAATCCCTTGTGTTTTTGGACCCTGACCCCGCGGATCTGCGTGAGGGGTGGCACCGAATTTCAGAAATGTGGCAAATCCCTTGTGTTTTTGGACCCTGACCCCGCGGATCTGCGTGAGGGGTGGCACCGAATTTCAGAAATGTGGCAAATCCTTTGTGTTTTTGGACCCTGACCTCGCGGATCTGCGTGAGGGGTGTCGATTTTGAGCCCACCCAGCAATTCAGACAACGCGCCCAGGGGGTGCCAAAAAATCCTGTTTGGGCCTCCCCCCCCTCGCGCGGTCAATCAACTAGTTGCAGTAACCAGCAAGAAGCAGAACTGTAACATTGGAAACTACAAACTACAACTGGTACAGGAAACTGCGAATCACGTGCCTACAGCCTGGTGGCCCCACAAGGGGGCCGGCGGATTATAGTCTTAGCATGTCTTCCCATTCCAGATCACATCCAACCTCTCCTTGCTCCTTCCTCGCCTCTCTTTCTTCCTCCCTCCGGCACTACCTTCTCCTCCCTCCTCCTACCTTCTCACTGCCTTCACATGTTCGAGGCCACGGCCTCCACGCCATGTCCTACCAGCACGGGCGGGCATCCTAGCGGAGTTCGCACGACTCCAGCATTCGCTTCGTTTCCAATCATGCCCTAATGAGCACGGGCGGGCTTACTAGTGGAGCGCGCATGACTCCAGCGTTCGCTTCGCTTCTCCGCTTCCTCCCTGCCCTGGTCGCATTCGCCTAGTTCCCCGCCGCCCAGAGGGCGGCCGGCGTACACGTAATGGCCGCAAGAACTATTTTGCCCCCTCCAGGGCAGCGCTGGTTCGTGCTCAGCGCTTGTGTGTGTGTGTGTGTGCGCGTGGAGCCACTATTTCCGAGGCCCTGAGATAAGAGAACCCTTTGGGTCCCAATCAAGGCATTGTTTTTCGGGCCGTTCCCTGGGTCTAGATCTCGGTCGGGGAGCCTGCTCGTGTCCGAGGCTCGCAGTTGCCAGCGAAGCCCCTCCGCTCATCAACTATCCAGCGTGCCGTGTGGTAGCACGATGACTGCACGCCCGGAAATCCCCGAGCGCTTTCAGCGCGGCGCGGTGGGGGAGCCCGGCGCTGCTCTGCTCGGAGCTGACACCCCTCCCCCGCCTGGCAGGGAGCGTTTCTCCCCGTCTCCCTCCTTCGACCTCGCCCCTCTTCCAACTCCCCCATCTTCCTCGCCCTCCCATCCTGCTCTCCTCCTCCCCTTCTGTTCCTCCTCCTCCTCCTCCGCCTCCTCCTCCTCTTCCGTCAAGAAGGTGATGCACTAGTGGGGCGTTGCGGCGCCATGTCGTATTCGTGGCTTCGGCTCCGAGTGCGGAGAGGTTGTGTTTCGCCTCGGGTGTGTTTCCCGTTGTTTCCCGAATGGCTCTGGGTTGGCAAAACAGTCCTTCTCTTCTGCCGCCTCGCTTCGTTCGCCCTGCCTCCTCCCTTCCAGCCCGCGGCAGTCAGAGCTACCTCGTCATCTGGGTGACGGCGAACGTGCTGATGCTGCTGGTGAGGCACTCCGGGAGCCGCGCTTGGGATGGAAGATGACGACGAGGACAACGCTGACGACGACGACCACGACCACGAGGACAGGAACGCCAGCGGCGGTAGCGTTGACGGTAGCGGCGACAAATAGAGGAGGACCCACGGGGTCCTGGGGCATAACAGGGATCGCGTTGCCGATAGAGAGATATGTTTTGCTCTGGCGTGCCTGGTGTTCTCTGCGAGATAGGATGAGAGGGCGCCGTTGCGACCGTCGTTGCATCAATGCTCAAGCTTTTGTGGCGTCCAGATGCCTGTACTCCGCAACGGGGTTTGGCTCGTGGGCGCCGTCACTCAGCTCCTCACGGCATACTGGTGGCGGACGCAGCCTTGTCCTACGTGCCCTGACTGCCCATCGTGCCCCACCTTGCACTGTCCCAGCTGCCCGCATCTGCAGTGTCCGACGGGCCTGAATCCCTTGCAGGCCGGCGGGATCGCCGGCGGAGGTCAGAGCTCAACACCTCCTGTGCCGCCACCTGCGGCGGAGGCTGCAGCTGCTTCTGAGCCCCCTGGCGCCGCTGCTCCGGGTGAGGATCCAACGTCAGGACCGACCGAGGGCTCTTCGGTGTCAGGCGGCTGGCTGGGCGAGCTCGTGGCCCTGTGGCTTCATGCGCTGATCGCTTTGTTGCAGGCGGTGGTGCTCTTGGGATATTCGTGCCTGAGGAACGTGTGCTCTTGGCGACTGCCAGGCCGCCGGACTCCTGCCGCCATCGACAATGGTCGCCCGGCTGGGATACGTCCGCCCTTGGGTGTGGGTGCTATTCGCCGGCGAGCAGCAGTGGCATCTGCGTCGGATCTGGGGGCAAGCAGAGGATCCGCCAACTGGACCTCAGACTCGTCTGCTGCTGAGCCGCAGCGCGCCTGATCATGATGCCTGCAGAGAAGACTGCAGCAGGGACAGCGCTGATATTCTGGGCTTTCGCTTCGTGGACACTCATCGTGACCGCGGAATTCAGGATGCGGGGCTGCTACACGGGTTCGGGCGACGCTTGACGGTCAATGAGAAGACCGCAATCACAGATGGGGTGACTCAGGTGGCCGACGAGATTTACCGGGGTTGGGAGACCGCTGGGGGCCGCGCTGCTGAGTTTCCTGTTGAGGGCACGCTGCGGGCTTTCGACGTTGAGCTGCGCGGCGTGGGACCTGGGCCGCAACTGGTCGGTGCCGACGGTGGCGTTGCTGGAGGCAGCGCTGGAGGTACGGCGACGACTACCGCGGGAGATCGCGGAACGGTTGCGGCCCTGAATGTGTCGGAGCGACTCGGTGGCGACGTCGGGATCATGAGGACCGACAAGGACTGGATCGGAATCCGACGGGTGTCGGCCAGCCTGGCGCTCTACGCTGGCGCTGAGACTGGACTTGACGCCAGGCTCCTTGGCATCACACTGCAGTCAGATGGCCATCGCACTCGTATCCATTTTCGGGACGCTGTCGCCAAGTTCGAGCATACGCCGCTTCCAGGATGGCCGTTGGAGGGCCCCCGTTTGGCGGTGAGGTGCTCCATTTTTGTCGACCGACGTTGCAGAAGCCCGCTGGGGCATTTCACGCAGTTCGGGAATCAGCCTCATTTGACGAGCGATGACTACGGCGCGGCCCACTACGAGAGCATCATGAGGATGATCGCGTCCTTAGCCCGCTGGGATCAGGTGAGTCTTCCAGACCTTGTGGGCGTCGGGGAGGCCATGCGACAGGCACAGCTCTACAGGTACGTGTACGCGATGGAGGCGGAGGGTTCACTACACGCGGCCCTTCAGGGACGCAGTCGTGGCCACGGCTCCGCCGAGTTCGCCTTGTTGGACGAGGCCTCCGCCTTCGCATTGGCATCGAAGGAGGATGGCAGGATGATGGTGTGTCCTGACCTCCTACACCACGTGTGCGCCATAGCAGAGAGGGACGCGGACATCCTCAAGTCGCTGCGAAATGCGCGTGAGGATCGTCGCGCCCTCTCGGGGCAATGAGAGTGACCTCGGACGGGATGCCCCTCGACCCGCCCGAGATGCAACAGAGGGCGGCTTCGGTCTCCCCGCCTGGAGTCCGTGATGTACGTGGGGGCCGCTATTCCTCTCGCCGGGATGGTCGCCAGCGCGATGTCTTCCCGATTCCTCTTCGCCTTGACCCTGCTTCTTCCTCTACAGAGCTTCAGAACACGAAGACCCTTTCTCGGACAGCTGCTCGGCGGGTGCACCGTCGCCACCACAGGCTCGACATGGTGAATGAGATAGTTGTGACTCTCAACGACATGTACCTGGGTGGAAGTGGACATGACGATCTTCCGCGTCGTGCCGCTGGAGAGCCGCTGCTTGCTGTCCATGCCGAGGTGCACTGGGAGCTGGAAGATGCGGTTCGCCGCTTCGGAGAGCCGCCGATGGACCTCGACGGCCCAGGAGCCCTTGCGGAGCTTCGGGTGTCTCAGGCGCACCACGGGGAGGCCGTGGCCATCGCCCCGGTTGGCTTCGACAACGTCGACCGCATCTCTCTGCCTGCTGCTACGACTTCTCCACAGACGCTAGAGCGTTTGGCTGGTGATGCGGGCCGGAAGATCGCCAATCGTTTGCAAGATTTGTTGCTACCCGAGAACAGGGGTTGGACCGCATCCGTATTGAGGGACCACGTCGGTTATACGTTGATCCCAACCTTCGCAACCCTAAGCTGTATCAGCGAGTGCTTCGGCGGCTGGTGGACTCTAACCTGGTGAGTTTCCAGCTGGACTGCGAGTGCTCGGTCGGGCTCTTTTTCGTTCACAAGAAAAATGGCGATCTGAGGGTGATCTTAGATGGCCGCTACTCGTCACTGCGCTTCGGCGAGGCCGACCAAGTTGAGTTAGCCTCAGGCGGTGCTTTCAGCCAGATCGCCGTAGACGGGGATGACCCAATCGCAGTGGCGGGCGTAGACATCGCGGATGCTTTCTACAACATTCTGCTGCCTCCAGGGTTGCAAAAATACTTCGGCCTCCCGCCCGTCAGGGCTGGCGACTTCAATCTCTCTCTCACGTTGGCGAGGGTACCCCCGTTCATCCTTCGCAAAAGGTGGTTCCATGTTTCCGATGTCCGCCCATGGGTTGGAGCGTGAGCCTTTGGATCTGCCAGACCTTGAATGAGCACATCAGTTCTCTAGTCCCGGGCGTCAGTACACATAACTTCCTTGTTGATCGTCGACCAGCCCCGAGTTTGAGCGATGATTTCATTCGCACTGAGTACGTTTACAACTTTGTCTCACTGTCACGGTCTATGGAGCGCGCTGGGGACATCGCCCGGGCCGTGGGCCGCGCTAAATCGAGTCGGGTTGCCTACGCATGAGGTCGAGGAGGGAGTAGGCGGTCAGATTTGGGGCTGGGAGTTTGGTTCGAGTGATGCTGTCATCGGGCTGAATCCTCGTTTACGGTGGAGGTTGCGTCTGGGCATCCAGGAGATCTTGAGGCAAGACCGCTGTGCTGGGGACACGCTCCGGAGGGTCATATCGCACTGCGCATCTCGGGGCCTCATCAGGCGGGAACTCTTGAGCGCTCTGGGTGCCGTGTACTCGTTCATCCGCGTGGCTGGTCATAGGTCCTTACGTCTTTGGGGGTCCGTTCGACGTGAACTGCGGTGGTGTAAGTCCTTGTTGGTCCTATGGTTCAGAAACGCGGGCAGGCCTCTCTCAAAGGTGGTCTCTTGCGTGGACGCCTCGTGGTGGGGGGTTGGAATCACTGAGAAGGATTTCACGCACGATCAGGTCGTCGAGTTGTCGTCCTTCAACGAGCGATGGAGGTTTGGGCGAGACAACGAGAAGTCGATGCCTCCCCGAGCTTTCGACATCGGCATGTGGAAGGATGAGACCGAGGAGACCGAGACGAGCACGGGGTTCACCGAGCCCTACCATGTCCTGAGGGCCTCGCAGGGCCTGATGTTCGAGGAGCCCATCAAGGTCTTCCTGAAGCCCCCAGAGGCCAAGTTCAGGAGCGTCTCGAAGGAGGTCTGGGGTGGTGTCTGGAAGCGTATTCTCTCGAAGCCTTGGGAGCGTGAGGAGCCCCAGGTCATCCTTGAGGGCAGGGCTCTGGTCAGCTGTCTAAAGCACCTTCTTCGGAGCTCTGGAAATTTCAGACACACTCATATCATCCCCGTTGCTGGCTTTGCTCAAGGGCCGGTCCTCATCGGCGCCGCTTCAGCGAGTATGTCGTCCTGTCGCAGCTCTAGCGCTGTGCAGTGGCTGCGTCGTCTGGCGCTGGGTGCCTTCTGAGCACAACAGTGCGGACTCAGCCTCGCGGAACCGGCCTGGCCTTACAGCTGAAGCTGATCGAGCGGCCGCTGGGGATGCCAGGCGCAGGAGCCCTTGCTCAGGTGACGGGCGGCTTGCCGAGGAGTCGGGGAGGACCGAGGACCAGCGCGGCCGTGGCTTCGTCTCGCCGCCGCCGGGCCTCAGCCTCTACGACGAGCCTTGCTGTCCGAGCTCGCGTGGAGGGGGGCCGCCAAGCTGCCAGGCGCCTGCCGCGCCGCCAGGGCTGCAGCCGGGATATCGTTCCGATGCCCGGAGAGAGCCACTCGGTTCTGGAGCAGGAGTCGGTGTCCGCCGCCACCCGCCAGGACTACGAGAGGCGAGCCCACCGCTTCTACCTCTGGGCCGAGCACTCGCGCCTGGAGACGGCGGCCGAGGAGCAACTGAACGAGACCCTGGCGATGTACATCCGCGAGCAGTTCTTGATGGGGGGCGAGAGCACGGACGCGAGGAAGCTCTTCGCGTCGCTGGCCTTCGCGGGGTGCCACCTGGGCTTGGAGTGCAGCAGCCTGCCGTGTGCGACCCGAGCTGCTCGGGGATGGCGCACGCGGGCTCCGCCTCGGTCGAGGCTTCGGCTGCCGTGGACCACCTGCTGCCTTGTCATCCGCCAGTTAGTTCAGGCCAGGGAGCGAGTGCTGGCAAAACTCACGGCCGTGGCCTTCGCCCTGCACCTGAGGCCGTCGGAGGCGCTCTCCCTGACCACCCACAGCCTGGTGCCGCC